CTCTATAACTCATTTTTTAAAAGTTAACAGACTTATCATGACAATTGAAATGTCGTACGGGTAATATTTCGATTAATTTCATCGAGTCCGTAAACTTTTAAAATTGACAACTCAAATAAATTTTAATTCCAATATCTATTGGGAAATATATGAAAAAATTCAATGGCATCCCGGAAGTAATTTAAAATTCAATGACTATTGAAAATTATTTGAGAAAGTTCAGTGACAACAAGAATATTAATTTAACCCTAAAAGACTATTCAAGGGCCAGAAAAAAAAATGAGGAAGAAAATATTCTCACTAATGTGATTTGAATACGCTCTTAAATCAAATGCAGACAGGATTGAAAGGGCTGAATTAGTGGACCCACCTTTACCAAGATTGTAGTGGTTTGGTCAACAAATTATCTTTCAAATTTCCATTTTGAAGGAGAATAATGATTTCTAAGCAAAGTTTATGGATATTAGTTTGTGGTATGGAAAATAAAATTAAGGTATATTTAAATTCATTAGAAAATGTGATGGCAACCAGCTATCACATATGGATGGCTATACAATAATGAGTTAAATGTTACAATAATCACTCACTTTATATCGTGATCACGATTTACTCACTAAATTTTGAAGTCTTGCTGAACTTTAGTCGTTCGTACTGCATCCATCACCTTCAATAATTTGTTACCTTATTTGTGGATGTGAGTAACTGATATTGAGTGTGGCACCTCTTGTCCGTTAACAAATGCCAATTCACACTTTCTGTCCAAATCAACATTAGTTTATGTAGAGCTAGATAAAATTTTCGAACCGAATCTTATCAAATCGAACCCAAATCGAGCGGTTCTTCTTAAATTAAATTTCCGAAAGAGTATCTTCTTAGAATCGACAAGTTTAGTTCGATTCTCGATTCTAGACCAAGAACATAATCTTCCTAATTTTTTAAATTTATTTATCTTAAATAAATCAAATTATTTTATGTGTTTCTAAATAAATTTACTAACTAATTAATTTAGCCTAAATCCAAAATATGATTTTCCTATTTTTAGTTTCCAGCACAAATCCAATTTAATCAAATTGGCCTAAATTTTACTCAAATATATTATTCTATCGTAGTGTCATTTCTATTATTTTGGAAAAATCGAATTGGAAGCTTAGCTGCGCCTCGTTTCATTATTGTGAACTTATTATCTTCCTCTTTTTATAAAAATCTCAACAAAGAGATATACAAAAGATACATGAGTTTGACCTACTTTTTTTTTTTAAGAACTAATATTGAGCATGTTATTAGTGAAAATTAATGTAGTGTTATTCTAAATATTAAAAAACAATTAATTATTATACAAAACTTGATAATTGAATTGAAGCGAATGGAACTGAACCCGAACTATTCCATTATTAAATTTAGACCAGATAGTTCCACTTACGAAATAATCGAAAATTCGGGTTCGATTCAATTCTCTTTAGACTCAAGCCGAACTGTACTATATCCGGCCCAAAATTTATGCAAGAGTGAAATTGCTGTCATATTCTCTAATAAGTCCTTGTTTGGTGGGGATTAAAATTAGGTTTTTATTAGATTTTGATAAAAGTTTTTGAAATGTATGGTTAAAAAACTGTGGGATCCATGAAAGATGTAATTAATATTGATTGTTTAACTTTGATTTAGATTAAAATTTAATTTAAATTTATTTCAAACTGGGGCTAAAGTAAGAATATATTTAAATTGATTGGAGAATGTGATGGTAATTTCATTGTCACGTATAGAATGTATACGATTGGATAGAATATTCAAGACAAATATCATCATTAAGAAAGAGAATTAAATTTTAAAATATATTTTAATAGTGGTATTCAAAATTATTCATTACACATTAAACATGTTTAAAGATTAGATGGATTCATTATATACTTCCATTCAAATATCAAATGTGCATGTGATTCAGTGAACTGGATTAATAGATTAGATGGATTCAATATATGCTTCCATTCAGTTGATTTGTTCAACTATTTTCTTGCACACTGGATTTGTGGTGATCGATTATTGTTTGACCTCATGTTTTGACAAAGGAAGCCACAGTGATTAATTAAACATTATTAAGGTATGAGCTACAATGAATTAGTCCGCCACACTATATTTACTATTTAAAATTTTACTTTTAGAGTCAACAGTCGACTCAACTTCTAGATAAATAAATCAAGTTTTAAGGCTTTAAATTTAAATTTAAGCAAGTCCTCTAAATTTTAGGAAACTCATTTCTAAGTTATATGACCAGTGTTATAAAACTAAAGGGAAAAGATAAAATAAGAGAAAAAATAAAGATTTAAAACTCAATTGTGTATTATTATGAATCAATGTCCTATATTTCTAGGGTCCAAAATAAGAGTTACAATTGGAATAAGATAGATATTCTAAATTAGATAAAACTTATCCATATATCATGATAATACTAAATAATCATAAATAATTATCTCATTATTTTACAATACTTCCCCTTTGATAATTATTTGTACAATAACTATCTCGTTAAAACCTTGTTTGATAAAAATTCAATGGGAAAAGAATCAAACAAAGAAAAAAGAATATAATTATTTTGGAGTACTAAAAATAAATGTTATCTCATTAAAACCTTACTAGGAAAATCAAGTGGGACAAAACCTAAGCGAAGGAAAAAGAGTATAGCTACTCCCCCTGATGTTGATCACTGAAAATATTTGAGTCGACGCATTTCAATCTTTTGAACTAATTTCTTGAATGTAGATATTGACAGTGCTTTTGTGAATAAATCAACCACATTGTCACTTGAGCGAATTTGTTGAATATCGATATCATCATTCTTTTAAATCTCATGTGCATGAAATTTTTTTAGAAAAATATGCTTCGTTCTGTCATCTTGGATATAGCCTCCTCTGAGTTATGCAATACAAACTGCATTATCTTCATACAAAATTGTTGAACTACTCTTTGTTGGAGTTAATCCGCATGATGCTTGGATATGATGGGTCATGTTTCTCAACCACACACATTCTCGACCTACTTCATGGATTGCAATAATTTTAGAATGATTTGAGAATGTGTCTATCAATGATTGCTTCACAAATCTCCATGATATAGATGTTCCTCCACATATTAATATATTACATGTTTGTGATTTAGCTTTATGTGGGCCAGATAGATAACCTGCATTTGCATATCCCACTAAATCAGATCTCGACTTTTGAGAATAAAATAATCTCA